GGCGAGGACCAAGCCTGTGAAAATAGCTACTCTTGCTGACTCAGCAGAGGAGTGTGTGTGTGTGTGTGTGTGATGGTATGTGTAGATTTACATGTGTGTAAGCGTGCGAAACGCTAAGCAACCTGACGGCACATAACAAAGCCTCCAGCTGTTCTGTAAAACATCCATTTCCTCCAAACCACAGGGCCCCATAAAGCCAAGCACCCATAGTGAAGCTAATGGCATTCAATTCTATAGTCATGCCTCTGGTGCTGCTTATTGGGGGAAAACACCCTGATATATTTTCCAACACATGACTTTGTTTTTCTGAATCAACAACTCCACCTCTTCGCAGTGAAATAATGTCTGATGCGGCGGAGAAGACATTATTAAAGCTCTAACAGACCATCATGGAATATGTGAAGGCATGCCGGCAGGAGCAAAAACACAAGTCAGCAATTCATTTTATTCCCTGTAATGGTTTAAACCCATGCTCCAACATGGATTGGGCCATTGCTTTTCATAGCACCCTGTGTTTGTACATGTGTGAGCAATAAAACAAGCCGGTAACTTCTGCACTTTTGCCAAATGGGCCTATTTTATTAGACTGCGGCAAGCAAGTGAAACCTCTTTCTGTGTGTGTGTGTGTGTGTGTGTGTGTGTGTGTGTGTGTGTGTGTGTGTGTGTGTGTGTGTGTGTGTGTGTGTGGTGTGTGTGTGTGTGGTGTGTGTGGTGTGTGTGTGTGTGTGTGTGTGTGTGTGTGTGTGTGTGTGTGTGTGTGTGTGTGTGTGTGTGTGTGTTGTGTGTGTGTGTGTGTGTGTGTGTGTGTGTGTGTGTGTGGTCTAGCATTACTGTACTTGTGGGGACCTACATCTGTTTACATAGTCATGTGTGGGGACTGGCTTCCCTCATGGGGACAAATTGGAGGTCCTCATGAGGGGAATAATTAATTTCAGGGTGAAGACTTGGTTAGGTTTAGGTTAAGGGTTAGGGTTAGGCATGTGTTGGTTATGGTTAAGGTTAGGATAAGTCTCCAGGAAATGCATGTAAGTCAATGTAATGTCCCCTGAAGTGATGTATACATGGTATGTGTGTGTGTGTGTGTGTGTGTGTGTGTGTGTGTGCGTGCGTGCATGCGTGTGTGTGGGGGGGGGGGCGTGGGTGGGGGTCCAGTGCACGCCAAGCTTTCTCATAAGGTTTACTGACACAACACATTTTAATGGTTTCTGTTCAGCGCCAAGCATTGAGAAACCAAGTGACTTCTGAAGGGTGGCACTCTGCGGAAGTTCATTGTTTACACTCATGGCTTCAGCTATTTCAATCTGAAACTGAGGAGCCCTTTGGGCACCACAGCTGTTTGTGCCGTTGCAAAACTGCAAGTGCAAGTATTGTTTATTTGCATGAAACATTCTTCTTGGTACAAATGGTCCCAAAAGGTATTATTGTTTTCCAGAAGTGTAGTGGAAGAAGAACTTAGTAGGACATATTCTGCTAAATGTAGGTTTAGGCATATCAGTATGTAGTGTCTCTACTTTAAAGAGTCCTCTCCTGCTGATGTTCAGGTGTATATCAGTATGTAGTGTCTCTACTTTAAAGAGTCCTCTCCTGCTGATGTTCAGGTGTATATCAGTAGTGTCTCTACTTTAAAGAGTCCTCTCCTGCTGATGTTCAGGTGTATATCAGTATGTAGTGTCTCTACTTTAAAGAGTCCTCTCCTGCTGATGTTCAGGTGTATATCAGTATGTAGTGTCTCTACTTTAAAGAGTCCTCTCCTGCTGATGTTCAGGTGTATATCAGTATGTAGTGTCTCTACTTTAAAGAGTCCTCTCCTGCTGATGTTCAGGTGTATATCAGTATGTAGTGTCTCTACTTTAAAGAGTCCTCTCCTGCTGATGTTCAGGTGTATATCAGTATGTAGTGTCTCTACTTTAAAGAGTCCTCTCCTGCTGATGTTCAGGTGTATATCAGTATGTAGTGTCTCTACTTTAAAGAGTCCTCTCCTGCTGATGTTCAGGTGTATATTAGTATGTAGTGTCTCTACTTTAAAGAGTCCTCTCCTGCTGATGTTCAGGTGTATATCAGTATGTAGTGTCTCTACTTTAAAGAGTCCTCTCCTGCTGATGTTCAGGTGTATATCAGTATGTAGTGTCTCTACTTTAAAGAGTCCTCTCCTGCTGATGTTCAGGTGTATATCAGTATGTAGTGTCTCTACTTTAAAGAGTCCTCTCCTGCTGATGTTCAGGTGTATATCAGTATGTAGTGTCTCTACTTTAAAGAGTCCTCTCCTGCTGATGTTCAGGTGTATATCAGTATGTAGTGTCTCTACTTTAAAGAGTCCTCTCCTGCTGATGTTCAGGTGTATATCAGTATGTAGTGTCTCTACTTTAAAGAGTCCTCTCCTGCTGATGTTCAGGTGTATATCAGTATGTAGTGTCTCTACTTTAAAGAGTCCTCTCCTGCTGATGTTCAGGTGTATATTAGTATGTAGTGTCTCTACTTTAAAGAGTCCTCTCCTGCTGATGTTCAGGTGTATATCAGTATGTAGTGTCTCTACTTTAAAGAGTCCTCTCCTGCTGATGTTCAGGTGTATATCAGTATGTAGTGTCTCTACTTTAAAGAGTCCTCTCCTGCTGATGTTCAGGTGTATATCAGTATGTAGTGTCTCTACTTTAAAGAGTCCTCTCCTGCTGATGTTCAGGTGTATATCAGTATGTAGTGTCTCTACTTTAAAGAGTCCTCTCCTGCTGATGTTCAGGTGTATATCAGTATGTAGTGTCTCTACTTTAAAGAGTCCTCTCCTGCTGATGTTCAGGTGTATATCAGTATGTAGTGTCTCTACTTTAAAGAGTCCTCTCCTGCTGATGTTCAGGTGTATATCAGTATGTAGTGTCTCTACTTTAAAGAGTCCTCTCCCGCTGATGTTCAGGTGTATATCAGTATCTAGTGTCTCTACTTTAAAGAGTCCTCTCCTGCTGATGTTCAGGTGTATATCAGTATCTAGTGTCTCTACTTTAAAGAGTCCTCTCCTGCTGATGTTCAGGTGTATATCAGTATGTAGTGTCTCTACTTTAAAGAGTCCTCTCCTGCTGATGTTCAGGTGTATATCAGTATCTAGTGTCTCTACTTTAAAGAGTCCTCTCCTGCTGATGTTCAGGTGTATATCAGTATCTAGTGTCTCTACTTTAAAGAGTCCTCTCCTGCTGATGTTCAGGTGTATATCAGTATGTAGTGTCTCTACTTTAAAGAGTCCTCTCCTGCTGATGTTCAGGTGTATATCAGTATGTAGTGTCTCTACTTTAAAGAGTCCTCTCCTGCTGATGTTCAGGTGTATATCAGCATGTAGTGTCTCTACTTTAAAGAGTCCTCTCCTGCTGATGTTCAGGTGTATATCAGTATCTAGTGTCTCTACTTTAAAGAGTCCTCTCCTGCTGATGTTCAGGTGTATATCAGTATCTAGTGTCTCTACTTTAAAGAGTCCTCTCCTGCTGATGTTCAGGTGTATATCAGTTCATTCCTTGAGTGAAGGAATTTGAAGGTATATAGATTAAATCCATAAAGCTCAGATTTGGTTACAGCTCGTAACAATGATCTGCAGCTGTGTGAGGTCCCGGCTCAGACGTGTGAACGCCCAAACACAGACAATAGAGGAATTGTTTGGTCTTTAAACTCCTCTAACACGCCCCATGGGGCTTCATGGGAGACCCGCCGCCACAGTGATCAAAACGACTCACATGCATTACAGCAGAGCGAGGAAATGATCTGTGTGTTCCCAGGGTTAGGAAGGTTATAAATGAAATACCTTACCTGTGAAACAATCGGTAACCCAATCGGAATACAACAAAGTAATGTAACTTGATAACTTTCTGAAAAACCTGCCTTTCATTTGCCATATTCAGCCTCCAACAAAAGCAGGGAATCAAATCTGAGCTGACAGAAAATGCTCCGCTTTAGTTGAACACACACAGCTAAGCTCACACACTATTTCATGAACATATAGGTTCAGCTAGTGACTTTAAAAGAAGAACAAATTAACCAAAGAAAGTGAAAAGATTCAGGCAGTTGGTGTACCCCAAAGTGTTATGATATAAATGTATAATACGGGTTCCCAGCACATATGTTGGGCAATTTGCACAATTAGCATAAGTTGCGTTAATTAGCATTATAGCCTATTCAGACAATAGAAAAGCATTGGTCGATTTGGACGATTTTCAGGATCGAAAATTGCAGTTTTTAAAATAAAGTGGCCATATCTGGACTGCTTTTGATGCATTTTGGGTCGATTTTAAAGTTTTAGGGGACTCAAAGCTGCCATTTTGTATCCTAAACATTACATGTCACTTGTTAGACGCTTTTATCCAAAGCAATCCCCACAGGAACAATTTGGGGTGAAGTGTCTTGTCCAAGGACACAGTGGAATGTTGACTACAGCGGGATTCGAACCAGTGAGCCACACCCTTACACAAACACATCAGAAATGGATTCAGCATCCTCAATATACCTCCAAAACCACTCTGAAATTGTCCAAATCGGATTAGCCAGCTATTGTCTGCATATGCTAATTGTGCAAGTTGCCCAACATATGCAAGTTAGCATCCGGCAGTTTCTATGTGACCCCGCTATACATTTCTAACATAAAACGTTGGGGTACTCAACATTTCTGTGGTCAATATGCTGGCCGCTACAGGACAGCTAACAAAGAATACATTACATCTGATCCTTTTACAACAAACTAAATATGCTCTTTTTAGGTTTTTAGTAGCACTGTAATCCAGATACAACTGTAACTTGTATCCTGATTACTTTCTCCTGTTACCGTTAATCTACCTAAAGCTAGTTATTCCCATCATGCAGTCTGTTTATTCTGCATGATGGCGGTCCAAAAGTCTGCTGTGAGTTAGCAGTGGGCGGCTTTTCTATACAATCTATCTCTGTAATGACATACTGGTGTTAAATTAAAGATTGTACAGATCATCATCACAAACACATCACTCAGGGTGGCCCGTTCAAAACACAGGAAACGCTGTTACAAAAGTACTTTTTTTTATTAAAACATACATTACATAAATAAAAAAAAACATTGAATGGAAATCAGATGAAGATTTGACAGGTATGCTACAATCTTGTAGAAGAAACATGATGTCCATATTACTTTTGGCTAGGCAAGTGCACACAGAATTGTCAAAAAAAAATCAAGATACATAAATATGGAATTTAAAATGAAGCCCCTGTGTTTTAATAACAAAAAGCGTGTCTACTATTTCCTCTAAGTGCTGCATAATGGATGTCACACAGACGAGAGGTCATTTTAACAATGACCCGTCTCTGTACTTCTATAGCTAATAAATAAATATTTAGTGCATATTCCCATTTGCCTCGGTGAAGAGCCAAATGAAAAACAAAATTTAAGTTAAAAGATGAACCAAAGTCAATTTGGCTCCTCTAGTTTAAGAAGACAACAGTCTATTCATGTCATTGATGGTCAGACAGGCCAGCTATCTGCATCCCTTTTTCTTTTTTCAATCGTCATAAACATCACAAACACATGTCGTTTCCTCCTTAGTTCAAAATGACATTGTCGTGTAATTGCCTTCAATCAAGCAGGCCGCTCTTTAGACTGAGACGTGGAGAGAAAATGAGCTTTTGGAGCAAAACAAATCTGATCTGTTGCTAAAAAACAGTGAATCTCAGAGTGATATAACCAGTGGTGGAAAGTACTTTCACTCAAGTACACGTTTGAGGTACTTGTACTTTACCTATTCTTCTAATATACTACATTTTGGAAGCCAATATTGTACTTTTTACTTGTAGATTTTGACACACAATAATTAGGAAAAACTCTTATGATGTTTTGGTAAAGATTAAACCATCCAACATTACATTTAGGAAACTGGCACGAGTGGGTTAACACAAAATGAATCGGCAGCTTCTTAACTGTGAAGATTTACTGCTTCTGCTTTAGAGTTTGTAAATATTTAATGAGTTTTTTCTGCAACAAGTACTTTTCTTCTAAAACTTTAAGCACATCATCCTTATCATACTTAAATACTTCTGCTTAAGTACCATCACTGCAGTACTTTTGCCTCAAATTGAGTATTTTTAGAGTAGTATTAAATACTTTTGCTTAAGTGCCATTGTCGATGCAGTACTTTTGCCTCAAATTGAGTATTTTTAGAGTAGTATTAAATACTTCTGCTTAAGTACCATCACTGCAGTACTTTTGCCTCAAATTGAGTATTTTTAGAGTAGTATTAAATACTTTTGCTTAAGTGCCATTGTCGATGCAGTACTTTTGCCTCAAATTGAGTATTTTTAGAGTGGTATCAAATACTTCTGCTTAAGTACCATTGTCAATGCAGTACTTTAATTCAAATTGAGTATTTTTAGAGTAGTATTAAATACTTCTGCTTAAGTACCATCACTGCAGTACTTTTGCCTCAAATTGAGTATTTTTAGAGTGGTATCAAATACTTCTGCTTAAGTACCATTGTCGATGCAGTACTTTAATTCAAATTGAGTATTTTTAGAGTAGTATTAAATACTTTTGCTTTAGTACCATTGTCGATGCAGTACTTTTGCCTCAAATTGAGTATTTTTAGAGTAGTATTAAATACTTCTGCTTAAGTACCATCACTGCAGTACTTTTGCCTCAAATTGAGTATTTTTAGAGTGGTATCAAATACTTCTGCTTGAGTACCATTGTTGATGCAGTACTTTTACTTCAAATTGAGTATTTTTAGAGTAGTATTAAATACTTTTGCTTAAGTGCCATTGTCGATGCAGTACTTTTGCCTCAAATTGAGTATTTTCAGAGTAGTATTAAATACTTTTGCTTAAGTACCATTGTCGATGTAGTACTTTTGGAGTTAGTACCCCAGTAAAGACTCTGAATACTTTTTCCACCTCTGGATATATCCCCTGTTGTGATAGTTACTCCGATCAGAGACTAACTACTTCCTCGTTCACACGTACAGAACTCTTCAGGAAGACGTTTGTGATCAGTGCCGTGTGCAAACCTGTTGTTTTTATTCTGTTCTAATCCGCTAAGTACAAGCAGATGCTCCGTGTTTCTACCGGACATTTTCTCCAACATTGATAAATCCTTCCTCACTTTGCGTCTCGCCAGCAAACCGACTTCCCAAGTTTCTCCCTTGTGGTTTGTTTAGTTGGTCCATAAACACATCGGTGCTTAAGTCGTAATCTGAGCTGAAATGTATTGAAATGTCACAATACTTAATTTTAAAAAAAGAGTCCAGTGCTATTTTAGATGAATTTAAGAGCTGTGTGTCGGGGACTGAACCATGTCTTCTCTCATCGAGTGCTCCAAGGCTATTTGGTGAAGTACAAAAACAACAAGACACTTTTTATCAACACTTATAAATCACTAACAGTGGTTCTTTGGCAAATGTTCAGTAGCAAGTCCGCTCCTCTCGTAACTTAACTCTCAATTACCTAACTTTATCGCCCCGAAATACGTCCCTTCTCCCTCGGGGTCCAGCACCCAGGCGTTGGACACGGTCACGTACAAAGCGTCCCCCTCCTCCAGACGAACCCCTCTTCCTTGCTGGGCGCAGTACATGTTATAGCTGGTGATGTTCCAGCGCATGGTGCTGCCCGTCTTCATCAGAAGCGCTGACTTGCTGTTCTGTTTGATCTTCTCGTGGTACACGTACTGGATGAGCTGCCGGTTGCTGACGTCCACCTGGCTGCCGTCCTCCAGCTCAAGGTTGTAGTAGCGGAAGCAGGTTTTGGCGTAGATGTAGTAGAAACCCGCCTCCTCCACCAGCAGCTTGCCCTTCTGGTAGCCCATCTTGTTGCGGTATCCGTGCAGCTCGTCCCAGTCGATGGTGACGGCTTTGGGCTCGCCTTCTAGACGGAGAGAAGAGCAAACTTTAGTTAACCCTCTGAGACCCACGGGGCCGTATACGATCCCAAAGATCACGTTGTGTTCAAAGCGTCATAACTTCTCAGCTCTTTCAGCCAGAGAGACATGCCGTGTTATTCCTCTTAAACTACAGAAACGGCAATAAACACATTATTTTTTATTTATGGGCATATATCCCCTATTATAGTGTATATAAGTCTCTAATGAGTGACACATATCATTAGCTGAGGTTGTGCTGATTTCTGGGATGTGTAAAACTTGATTTTACGGCAATAAATGACAATTTATTAGGCAAAACACAAAAATATACAAAAACAGAAATGTCCTATGTGGGTCTCAGAGGGTTAATCTTTTCATGTTTTTCAGGTGTTGGTCTATCACTTACATATTAGTGAGGCTAACTAAGGGGACATTTTAATGGACAAGCTTTTAAAGGTTTCCTATCATGCTATTTTTAGGCATATATTATGGGTCTCAGATATATAAAAAAATATAAAAAAACATGTCTATATCGGACTCAAATGTGGATCAGCTCCGTTGTTCCCCCGTTTTTAGAGATGTGGGTACGGAGGAAAAGAGAGAGGGTTTTATTTCCTGACGCTGCGTGAGGCTCCTGACACCGGGGACACATGTTGATGTAGGAAAGACATCAAACAGTGCATTTTGCATGATAGGTCCCCTTTAATAAGCGACATCCCCCCTTTAAACAGTCTTTTAATGTTTGTTTTTTTACATGAAAATTGCTAAACAAATGAAGATGTATTATTAATAATACAATAAAGGGCTGTGTTACTAAGGTAAAATAACTAATACAAATGATGTGATGTTGCAATTGATGATACAGTGTGATTAAAGGGAATGATCATTATAATTGTGGTGTAATTATTTAAGAGGATCTGTTCCCAACAATACGTTTTTATTAAGTCTGTAGAATACGTTTTGTAGGCCGGGACTTCTCTGCAGCTCCACAATTCAATTCAATTCAGATATTTATATACACTAACTTTACTAAATATTGAGCTTACTGCAATTTGGATATTGCATTCATGTTACAATTTCGATAACATTTTTAATTAACTGTGCAGCCCTAATGAAGCTCAGCGCAACTTCAACCAGGAAGACCGTCTTTACTCATTCATTTACTATGTCCATGTTACTACTCTCTCTCCTCTCAATAAGTGATCATTCCCCAGCTTAACCAATCACTTCGCTCTATTCTCACAAGCCTATCATAGCGCTCCGCTAACCCTTTTTAAATCTGCTCTCCCCTCTGACAGCTATCATTTCAGGTGACTCGACGCAACCCTCCTCCCCCCACTTTCACCTCCTGTCCCTCTGAATCCAGGGTCAAGCTAAGCCCCTCCCCTTCAGACCGACACCAACTATCCATTCACCACCACCAGGGTCAAGCTAAGCCCCTCCCCTTCAGACTGATCCCAACTATCCATTCACCACCACCAGGGTCAAGCTAAGCCCCTCCCCTTCAGACTGATCCCAACTATCCATTCACCACCACCAGGGTCAAGCTAAGCCCCTCCCCTTCAGACCGACCCCAACCATCCATTCACCACCACCAGGGTCAAGCTAAGCCACTCCCCTTCAGACCGACACCAACTATCCATTCACCACCACCAGGGTCAAGCTAAGCCCCTCCCCTTCAGACCGACACCAACTATCCATTCACCACCACCAGGGTCAAGCTAAGACCCTCCCCTTCAGACCGACACCAACTATCCATTCACCACCACCAGGGTCAAGCTAAGACCCTCCCCTTCAGACCGATCCCAACTATCCATTCACCACCACCAGGGTCAAGCTAAGCCCCTCCCCTTCAGACCGACCCCAACTATCCATTCACCACCACTAGGGTCAAGCTAAGCCCCTCCCCTTCAGACTGATCCCAACTATCCATTCACCACCACCAGGGTCAAGCTAAGCCCCTCCCCTTCAGACCGACCCCAACCATCCATTCACCACCACCAGGGTCAAGCTAAGACCCTCCCCTTCAGACCGATCCCAACTATCCATTCACCACCACCAGGGTCAAGCTAAGCCCCTTCCCTTCAGACTGATCCCAACTATCCATTCACCACCACCAGGGTCAAGCTAAGCCCCTCCCCTTCAGACCGACCCCAACCATCCATTCACCACCACCAGGGTCAAGCTAAGACCCTCCCCTTCAGACCGATCCCAACTATCCATTCACCACCACCAGGGTCAAGCTAAGCCCCTCCCCTTCAGACCGACCCCAACCATCCATTCACCACCACCAGGGTCAAGCTAAGACCCTCCCCTTCAGACCGATCCCAACTATCCATTCACCACCACCAGGGTCAAGCTAAGCCCCTCCCCTTCAGACCGAACCCAACTATCCATTCACCACCACCAGGGTCAAGCTAAGACCCTCCCCTTCAGACCAAACCCAACTATCCATTCACCACCACCAGGGTCAAGCTAAGACCCTCCCCTTCAGACCGATCCCAACTATCCATTCACCACCACCAGGGTCAAGCTAAGCCCCTCCCCTTCAGACCGAACCCAACTATCCATTCACCACCACCAGGGTCAAGCTAAGACCCTCCCCTTCAGACCAAACCCAACTATCCATTCACCATCACCAGGGTCAAGCTAAGCCACTCCCCTTCAGACCGAACCCAACCATCCATTCACCACCACCAGGGTCAAGCTAAGCCCCTCCCCTTCAGACCGAACCCAACCATCCATTCACCACCACCAGGGTCTAGACCCCGGGGGGTTTCATCGGATCGGTTCTCCCCTCCCGAATGATACTCCTGCACAACGGGGCCTAATCGCCAAAACTCCATTACATTCATTTGTGTATTCCTGGCAATAAATATGTATTCTTATCAAAACCGTCTCTCCTGGTTGAACTGGTGTTGTTTCCATATCTCTAGTGTCTTTGTTAACTTCTCCAGTCAAATTATATCTGCATTCAGTCCTTTGTATACCCCCTTTTTGCAGCCATTTACAATAAGGGTTCTTTTCTTTAATGCACCATGTGATTAATCCACTACTTTAGCAGCAATGCAGAACAAACAAACTGGATTAAGATATTAACTTAGATATTTTAATTTCCACAGCCTAAATATTACTATATTAATCACTTTTGTACAGTTATTTAATATATATTTGACCCTTTTGAACATCATGTTTACATGTAAAAGTAATGTGGATGGAGTTGGCATTTTACACAACTGATGAAAAACTCTATTGGTATCTGTATAACCTTTTAGTACACTAATATTGGCACTAGTTTAGTCATTTTTCAAATGAAACCCAGCTCTACATCACAAGCTTCCTAAATATAAAGTTTGAAGGGGTTAATGGTCTATTAAACTGTTACTATAAGTAATACAATAAAGTGCATACATGGAAAAATGTGTTGTAATAATGCAGTTTAGAGGAAGTATCACATATTCTAACTAGCGGACATTATATGGTCCTTTAGTTGAACTTTTTTGTCATTGTTAAGTTAGATATTTTGACTTTATACCATATTATTACTTTAAAATCTACTTTTAAACAAGTAATATGTCAGCAAAATCAGAGTTCCCGTTAAAATAGTTTTTCGCCGGTCAACATGTCCGTTAAAGTTGAAATCTTCCGGACAAAATGAGAAAAGTGCCGGTCAAAGGTCTTCTTTGTTATTTATTGAGCTTTAAAACAAATCGATATGATTCGATATTAAACAAACTAATTATAGTAGATTAACTACATTATTCAAAAGTGTTCAGTAATTTACAATAACACGGGAATAATAAACGGAGCTCCCTCTCCTGACAGCCCGTCAGTATCCGTCTCATGCAGCTCGCGGATCCAGAGTGACCCGACAGTAAAACTAAACCTATCTATAACTAGTTTAGGTAGTGAGAGGTCATTAAAATAGCTACGTGTGATATTCTAACCTGGTGTGTGTTTTGTTCTGTGATCATGCAGAGCTGCGTGTCGACTCGTCAGCAGCAGCTGATCTCTCTCTCCCATCAGATTAGACTTTACTCGTGTTTATGTCCATATCGATCAGATCCAGCTAGTTCTAGCTAATGATATGACTACCTGCTTATTAAAAGACACCTAAACAATAAGCGTCGCTATGCAACTGGGTGAGGCCACAAAGTATAGCGCAGCATTATGCATTTGTTTACATGCCCACCGGAACCCCGAGGCATTACCAACAGATCAACGCACAATCAACCCATCCAGGACATCTCTTTCTCCACATTAAGTAGACATTAGAATGGACTCTTTTGTCTGTCACATAAATGGCGCAACTGATGTGTTATTGCGCTAAGGGGAAATTATTTTGACCGGACATTTTGACCGGAGACATTTAGATTTGCCGGTCTTCAGCATATTTTACCGGTCATAGTCCAGTAATTACTGGCTAACGGGAATTCTGGTCAGCAAAATATAGATAGAAGCTTCAACTGGCCGTTAATAGTTGTAAACATTTAGAAATAACTCTGCAAAACTAGTGTGTGTGATTAAATCGTTTTCATTTAGAGAACACTTCTGTTTTAACAAAGCTAACCCCAAACAGAAATGGCTAATTGTGATGGACAGGTAAGTGTTTCTCGTGCATTAATTACAGGATGTTAATTAGACTCACTCTTGGAGAACTCCTGGTGTGCTTTGATTGGTAGATGCGCTGATGGCAGACTCTCTTTTGGATTTTTGCAGCGTCCTTTTTTCCTCGTGTCTCTCAGAGCGTCCAGCACCGGCTCCGTCTGCACTTCCTGCAGAAAACATAGAAAGAAAACAACCTAATTTAACAAACACTGATCGACACATGGAGGCCAAAAAACATCACTAGTGTCTTTACTGTGTGTGTGAGGAGTCGCACAATTTGAGACACACAACACACACACACACACACACACACACACACACACACACACACACACACACACACACACACACACACACACACACACACACACACACACACACACACACACACACACACACACCACCACACACACACACACACACACACACACACACACCACACACACACACACACACACACACACACACACACACACACACACACACACACACACACCACACACACACCACCACACACACACACACACACACACACACACACACACACACACACACACACACACACACACACACACACACACACACACACACACACACACACACACACACACACACACACACACACACACACACACACACACGGCTAAAGAGACATCAGTGATTATCCCTCAACAGATTTTTTCTCAGAGCAACGATATGGTTTGTGATATTTTTCACCACAGCTCTGTTCGGTTGTCTCTTTTAAAGGTCACCTATTATGCAAAATCCTCTTCTTCATGTCTCTTCTTCATCAACATGTGTCCCCTCTTCTTCATCAACATGTGTCCCCTCTTCTTCATGTCTCTTCTACATCAACATGTGTCCCCTCTTCTCCATGTCTCTTCTACATCAACATGTGTCCCCTCTTCTCCATGTCTCTTCTACATCAACATGTGTCCCCTCTTCTTCATGTCTCTTCTACATCAACATGTGTCCCCTCTTCTTCATGTCTCTTCTACATCAACATGTGTCCCCTCTTCTTCATGTCTCTTCTACATCAACATGTGTCCCCTCTTCTCCATGTCTCTTCTACATCAACATGTGTCCCCTCTTCTCCATGTCTCTTCTACATCAACATGTGTCCCCTCTTCTTCATGTCTCTTCTACATCAACATGTGTCCCCTCTTCTTCATGTCTCTTCTACATCAACATGTGTCCCCTCTTCTTCATGTCTCTTCTACATCAACATGTGTCCCCTCTTCTTCATGTCTCTTCTCCATCAACATGTGTCCCCTCTTCTTCATGTCTCTTCTTCATCAACATGTGTCCCCTCTTCTTCATGTCTCTTCTACATCAACATGTGTCCCCTCTTCTTCATGTCTCTTCTTCATCAACATGTGTCCCCTCTTCTTCATGTCTCTTCTACATCAACATGTGTCCCCTCTTCTCCATGTCTCTTCTACATCAACATGTGTCCCCTCTTCTTCATGTCTCTTCTACATCAACATGTGTCCCCTCTTCTTCATGTCTCTTCTTCATCAACATGTGTCCCCTCTTCTTCATGTCTCTTCTACATCAACATGTGTCCCCTCTGTGGAAAGAGACTCTGAAAGTTTCAGGAACAAAGATTCTCTCTCTTTTTGATCCATTTCTATAAAAACCTGTCTGAAAATGAGCTGATCAGATTTTGGCCACTTTATGATGTCATAACGATGTTTTGGCTTGTGTAACCATTAGCCAATCAGCAACCAAGGACCTTTAAAGCAGGTCAGATTTGTATTCGTCCTCTTTGGCTCTCTGCTCTCTTCTTATTTCAGCTGTGGTTGTTCTCGGCCTCCTGGTGAGTGTGACCTTTCAGACAGATTACACTTCTCACGAATTTGGCACAAAAAGCAGTCTCTGGATTGCGTTCAGCCCCCACGCAGTGTCTGAGCCGGGCTGTCATCCTCAGGCAAGACGGAGCACATACACTCGGGGAAAACATGGTTTCCAAGCACGTAAACAGTTCCTGCCCCAAGAGATTAAAATACCAGCCGCCTCCATCTACCATCGAACCCTCACACAACACATCTAAGTTTGGCTTTCACACAACAATGAAGAGATTAGTACATCTTCTTTCAAGTGTGCATGTTTCTGCAACATATACAAACGCATGTGGTTCATTGCAGTGAAGGGAAATCATTACGTACACCCCACTGATGAAGCTCTTATCATATCCCGAAGGTGTTTTAACTTGTTTTATGGTCTCTCTGTAATTAACCATGATCTCCTTGCACTGTCATGGCACCCTAACTCTGAGCCAACTCTTACAACAACACACAGACAGGGAAACTGAAAGTGTTGATTATGATGGAGACACACCACACAGCGCCTCGGAGCACAAACACTTCTGAATTAGCACGGTTTTGCAATAGTGCACCTGCGCTGTGCTAATATTACCGTGAAGTATTTATACACACACCTCAAAAGAATCCAGACACATTTGCACGTCTCGGACTAAGATTAGCACTCTCCTTTCTTTCCACAACATGTGTATAGGAACGAGGCGAGAGTAAACACGGCTCTGCCAACACAGCGATTGAGAAGGACCCGACATTGTGGGATCTATCTTGATTTGTGGCGAGACCTCTTTCACCAGCGAGAAGAGATTATTTAGAAATGACTGCCGTGAAGAAGCGGCAGAGAAGATGAGAAGCAGACAGGGTGTTGTTCTACTGAAGAAGTTTGATCCGCTCCTTCCTCAACGCAGACATTTTGTTCAAACGTCAAAGCGTTTTGCTCAATTAGGAATCAATGGCTATTACTCCTCCATTACTCCTTTGGAGCGACCTACCTGAGGATATCAGGGCTGTCAGATCTTTTAAAAACTCACTTTTTTAGAATTGCTTTTATGCGTCTTATTCTATGTATTTATATGTTCTATGTTCTATGTGTTACTAATGTTCTTATGTTTAGACGCCATTTCATTCGCTTGCTCTCTGTGGGTTAGGGTTAGTATGTGAAAGCAACAACAAAAAGTGTATTATTATTATTATTATTACTACTTTCATAATTCCAGTGAATCGTAAAGACTTCACTCGAGAAGTCTCGGTTCAATCCCACCTCGACACAGCCACACAAATTGCAGTTTTTCAGCGTACAGCATTCACTCCAGGATTTGCCCTCTCTGGTTCCCCATGCTGGAAGACCACAGTGCGTGCAGGCCTGCGATCTGCACTCAGATCAGTCAACATTCCCATTGTGCTGAGGAGCGCTCCTCTCACACAACGCTCAGGCCACCGGAGCAGATCTGTGTTCAGACCTTCTTGTGATACAGATCCGAGTGTGTGACTCATGATGTTCTCACACTGACCACAGATCAGGTCCTGTCTCATATCAAAGCGCTGACAGCCGTCCACGGAGGACGGCTCGCTCACAAATCCCCTGACCTGTGAGCGGAGGAGAGACATGTCACCCTGACACCTCATAAAGCCAAGGCCGAGGGGCTGAAGACACAATGAGACACAATGAGAGCCTCAGTCCAACGCGGGCTGGGTGGTTTGTGCAAGAAGCCCACCAGGCAAACACAAACACATCATTTCAAAGGGAATTGAAGCGTTATGGGAAACCAAACACTAGTGAAGCAAAGCAGTCCTTTTATTCCGTGTTGTTTTACTTCCTGGTTCCTACGGTGTTGCCAAGAACTTTGCCAAAGAAAGACTTGGTGGGGACTTCCAAAAAAGGGATAAGAAAGAAAATACATGACTTCAACAATTAAGAATTTATATTTTATAACTCCCTCGTGCTACTGCGATCTTTTGGAGGAGTTCTCTGCGACCACCGACGCCAGAGAGCGACTCATTAATAGTTGATGCTGTAAACTACTCTGCGCTCAGTGACAGGAAGAGAGCAGCTCCTTTAGGAAAAAGCTTCTTGACCCCATATCAAAATATCAAAGGTGTTTTTGCTGCTGCGGCCTTTGTGACCAGCTGTGGGTTGGTGCTCTGCAGGAGCTGTGGTGTGGAAGGAAAACACAGCCATGGGAAAATCTGGATTTCTGTCAGAGCAATGTTGCAGATGATAGTCGGTTTGGTTTTGCTACTTTAAGGCGAGGAACCGGGTAAATATTGTTTGATTCAACGGTACATGTTGGAGTTATTCAGGTCCTTAACATGTCTTCTTACAGGAAAGTGGAGATAAATCATGCAAAACACACATAAGGGTGTTTTTGTTTCTAATGTTGTCTACCTGGGTCTGCAGGCGTGTCATAAATCCATCAGAAGTTAGCTTTAGATAACGCCTCAGTCGCATATTTCATCATTAAAACTTATCTTAATATCTACTTTCTAAAGGTTTATACAGAGGGGATAATTCATACATCATTCATTGCCTAAAGCATGTCAAATCAATTTTTTTTTTTTTTTGAATGGCTGTTGACAGTACTCTCCCCAGTAAGAACAACAGATATCTCAAACCTTACAAACGTTGACTCTAATATGTCTGCAAACTTGCACATATTTAATAAGATAGTTCCTTATCTGCATATTCAGACAAACAAATAAGAAGAACAAAAAGTAACCGTATCAATGTGAGTGATCAACAAGGGAATGTGTATATAATGGTTGCATATTGCATCACGTTCACCTGGGGTGTCTTTTTCTTTTTAAACATAACTCTTTTTGCACACACTGTACTTCCTCCTCGACAGCAGGAAATACCTGCTGTGCTTCAAAAGAGTCTTAAATCTCGCAACTGTTGGCCCTCGGAGATATTATTTTTGGCAGCTCTGTTACACCACAGCTTCCTTTTGGTCACGAGCCAAACACAATCAGCCCATCAATGAAAGTCTGTTTTCAGTGAGATCTGAGTGTCGATAATTGATGGATAGTTTCAAGAAGTGTTGATGTGCAAATTCAGCTTCAGGGTTTATCAGGCAGGAATAAAACCTGTTGAAATGCAATCTGTGTGTGAGAGGAGTGTGTGTGTGTGTGTGTGTGTGTGTGTGTGTGTGTGTGTGTGTGTGTGTGTGTGTGTGTGTGTGTGTGTGTGTGTGTGTGTGTGTGTGTGTGTGTGTGTGTGTGTGTGTGTGTGTGTGTGTGTGTGTGTGTGTGGGGTTAACCAGGGGTCAAACTCACCTGTATGGGTCGGTGAGGAGCCGTGGACAGATCTACCTGCAGACAGAAACACAGGTTAGAGGGTCAGTGTACACAGAAATGCAAACTTATGCAATTCCTAACAAGCTCAATTTGTCATGAGGATGTTTCGCTGACAGGTGTGGGCGGGAGGAATATTTCTGTAAACCTTACAGGAAGACAAGTTGTGGGAGTGCGATGTGAAGTTATTCTCCACATGTCACTCTGCGATGCGCCGCAGCACGAGAAACTCAAAGCGATTTGGGGCATTTGGTTCTTATTTCCAGGGCTGTCGTGTCAGAGTCAGTGATGGATGATTACAAAAAAAAAGCTCCCGTCAGCACATTCCTATGCGGACACCGCGCTGATGAGCATCTCCAGGAAGTCGTACAGGTGTTGAGGGATGAAGTAGTACAGTGCCAAACTCCAGTAAACACACACACACACACACACACACACACACACACACACACACACACACACACACACACACTGACTCATGCTAAAAGTGCTACCATATGACTTTGATTTCAGTACAAAAAATCTGCGTGGTTAATTATCCAAGAGTCCGTTCTTACTCTGACCATAAAGACGGACCCCACTCATCTCCTCTTGCACTAATCTTATTGTTTTTTAAAATGTGTTTTAGTTCTTAAATATATTTATGTTGCATTGTGGCGGGGGTGTGTGTGTCTACTGTCCAGTTGTGATAGACACGGTTCGCCACTGTTATTACTACACTGTAGCTACTGTGCATATGACACGAAAGCCTTTCAATAACATAACCAGATAAATCCATGCAACACAAATACAATTACAGCCGTAGAATTAAACAACGTGTTTTTCTCTCGTCCTCTTTTAAATTTGATTTCCCTCTGGCTTACAAACTCCGATGTGTTTATGCCAAAGAAATGTAAAACACAAACACAGATAGAGAGACGCTCCCCAGGTGAACTCTGCATCCTGACAGAGCGGAGATGGTCTGCCCTCCTGGCTTGTTGAAACACGACAATTATTCAACTCCAAAACCGCCAAAAAGTTAAAAAAAACAATCACCGCTGAACCTAAATGTTATTTTACAACATCTCAGACACGCAGCCCTGCAAGAGGCATGACACAAAGCAAGACGTTTTCCGACAGTATCTCTCACTGCTTGATGAAACCCAGACTCCTCCAGAATAGCTTTGCTTACGCTCAGAGGTTTACAATGTACGACACATATAAATTACAGATATAAGCCATGTAAACATGCACAAGAGAAACGGCAGCCCTCAAGTGATCTGTATTTGGTAAGGCATCTTTGCGCAGCAGACGGAGATGCTATCACCACGCTGCAGCTAGGAAATATCTCTGTGAAATAACTAATGCGTGGGAAATGTAAAGAGTGTCTTTTAGAGATGTTATCTGGAAGTCTGGGTGTTTTACAGCAGAGTTTAACTGCCTGCTGCCTTCAAAGAGACACCAAGAGTGCAGGAAATCTTGGCGCACAAAACTGCAGAACGGGCTCGATTTTTTTCTCCACTTGTCTAGATTACACATACTTCCAGGGGAGGGAAGTAACTAAGTACTCAAGTACTGTACTTAAGGACAATTTGAGAGACTTGAACTTTACTTGAGTATTTCCATTTTATGCTACTTTGGACTTTTCCTCCACTACATGTATTTAATACCTTTAGTTACTTCTCAGATGTGGATGAAGGATGTGAAATGTAATCAAGTGTTGAATCAGACTTTAGTTCCACCTGGAGTAAATCCACCAGCTACCCTGCAGTATACAAAGTCATTCAAACTAGCTGCTCCTTTACCAGCTTTGAGAACACTTTCATGATCAATCATTATAAAACATATCATATTATTCTGAAATGGACCAATCTGCACAACGACTACTTTCACTGTCGCTATTTTCACTATATTTTGATGAGAATACTTTTCTACTTTCACTTGAGGAACATTTTTGAATGCAGGACTTTTACTGTAACAGAGTATTCCTACACTCTGGTACTTCTACTTTTACTCAAGTACAAGATCTGAGTACTTCTACTTTTACTAAAGTACAAGATCTGAGTACTTCTACTTTTACCCAAGTAAGTACTTCACCTCTGCATACTTCTAAGAGCTCACACCGCCTACTTTACACAGAGCAGGAAAACTTATCTGGCACTTTATGGCGTTATAAAGTTGCGCAAAAGTGTCTCGGACAGAGAAGTGTTGACAGTGTGTGCAGATAAATATTTACGCGTCAAACCAAAGTGTGTGTGAGTTGAAAGTGTTGTGGAAATGAACCTCCCGAGCACACGAGTCATGTTGAGCCTACCTCCTGCAGATATCCCGTCAGGTGTAATAGGATCGCCACGCTGGAGGCCACTTGAAGCAATCCCATAACAGCGAGGGTCCCGAAGAGCAGCGGCCGGTAAGTGGGCTCGGATCCCGGGTGGAAGCGGTGCTGCCCGGCCTCCATGTCGCTCCGCAGGTAGCCTCCTCGGTACTCGCTGTGCGTAGCTGCCATGATCCCAGACTCAATGCGAGGAAAAGAGAGAGAGAGCAGGGAGTATAACGAGCGGTGGGTGGGCTGAGAGCGCGTTTCTCTGCAGCCAATCAGAGGCAGGCTCGTTGGTCAGACTGGACCGGTTTCGGATGAGCGCATGCACAGGTGGAGAGAACCTTTATGGCTCCAAGCGGGGCAGAACGGGCAGAACAGAACAGAAACTCACTGACACGTGATCCACCCCTTTGTGCGCGAACACACCCCCCGTGCGCGTCCACACACCCCCGGTGACACACTTCTGCACAGATTGGAATGCAACATAACTGATGAGCCAAAAATGTACTTACCAATCGGTCACCATTTTACAGCCTGTAAAGTCCAAATTATCATGTTATAGTATATATCTAGTGTCTTAATTAATACCAATCAGTCATCAGTTTACAGACTGTAGAGAGAACAAATAATGGGATTGAAGTCCAAATGATCATATATTAGAATTACACTCTAACTCTAATTAACTCGTGTTAATGTTGGTTTAATGACAAAACTCAGACCCACCTCTTCTGCCCGTACACACCCCCGCAGACACACTGCTTCACACACTGGAATGCAAAATAACTGATGTGCAAGGCAAGGCAAGTTTATTTATATAGCACTTTTCAACACAAGGCAATTCAAAGTGCTTTACAAAAAATGAAAGACATTAAGAAAATGTTATTTAAAATCAGTCATTAAAAAGAAAAGTTAATAAAATAAACATTAAAAGAAAAAATACATGGATAAAAGTTACAGTGCAGTCTAAGATAATAATTGTTCAATTAAAAGCAGCGACAAAAAGAAAAGTCTTCAGCCTGGATTTAAAAGTAGTCAGAGTTGCAGCGGACCTGCAGGTTTCTGGGAGTTTGTTCCAGATATTTGGAGCATAATAACTGAACGCTGCTTCTCCATGTTTAGTTCTGACTCTGGGGACAGAAAGCTGACCAGTCCCTGAAGACCTGAGAGACCTGGATGGTTCATCATTTAGCAGGAGGTCAGAAATGTATTTTGGACCTAAACCATTCAAAGCTTTATAAACCAGCAGCAGTATTTTTGAAATATATTCTTTGACACACAGGGAGCCAGTGTAAAGACTTCAGAACAGGAGTGATGTGATCCACTTTCTTAGTGTCAGTGAGGACTCGAGCAGCGGCGTTCTGAATCAGCTGCAGCTTCCTAATAGATTTTTTAGTGAGACCTGTGAAGACACCATTACAGTAGTCCAGTCTACTGAAGATAAAGGCATGGACACGTTTTTCCAAATCCTGCTGTGACATTAGTCTTTTAATCCTAGATATATTCTTTAGGTGATAGTAGGCTGATTTAGTAACTGTTTTAATGTGACTGTTGAAACTCAGGTCAGAGTCCATGACTACACCTAGATTTCTGGCTTTATCTGTTGTTTTGAACATTGCAGGCTGAAGCTCAGCGCTAACTTTTATACGTTCTGACTTGGCTCCAAAAACCATTACCTCAGTTTTGTCTTTGTTTAATTGGAGAAAGTTCTGACACATCCAGTCATTGATTTGTTCAATGCACTTACTCAGTGTTTTAACTGGAGCATAGTCTCCTGGTGAAATGGTTATGTAAATGTGTGTGTCATCTGCATAGCTATGGTAACTTATTTTGTTGTTCTTCATTATCTGAGCCAGTGGTAGCATGTAGACGTTAAAGAGAAGAGGCCCCAAGATGGAGCCTTGAGGTACCCCACATGTCATATTTGTCAACTCAGATGTGTATTTACCTATAGAAACAAAGTGTTTCTGTCCTTTAAGTAGGATTCAAACCAATTTAGAACTGCATTTAAATTTAAATGCAAGAAGTTACTCAACTGTTGAAAAACAACTTTTTCAATGATGCAAAAATTAACTTTCGTTTCATTTCATTTATTCACAAGTTAAATGAAAATACAGATACAATCATGAGACGTGGTGGAGACATATGGAATAGGACACCCCAATAAAATATAGGAAGCTTGAGAACAGGGGCATCAATTCAATCAAATAATTCACCAATCTTTATTGATGTGATGCCAAAATATGTTGTTTGACAGCAGCCTCAGATTAAACACATTCCTCTCGGCTGTTTGTAAAGAGTTATCCATGCATGATGTCAACATCCTATCAAAATGTTTTCTAAACTGGAACTTGCTTAAAAGTCCCTGGCAGGCGTTCAGCTTTGAACTCCTTCCCTCATTCCTTTGGAGATAGATTACATCTTTAAACTTATTTGTTGGTTTTAAGACTCCTGGAAGATCATCTAATACCTCACACTGCTAGTAGCTGCTATGATGAAAGTCATTTTAAGTCACGCATTTGAACATTTATCAGCCCTTTTCATGACTCAATACGCTGTGCTGACCTTAAATATAGTGCGGTCTTTACTCCACGCCGAATTTAGGTAGTTTTAAGTTAAATGTGTGCCACTCAATCTTATCATCTAACTCTTCACAAGATAGACAGTAAGCCTGTTTCCCAAAAATGTTGAAGTAATCCTTCAATATCTCCCACATCCTTTAAAGGAGTAATGTGTAAGGCACCATGGAAATAGGGGGCAGCATTTCATCTCTACTACTGGGTTCATACCGTTTTTTAAAAGCAGCCAACTACTAACTAACAGCAGAGCAAGAATACGCAAAAGTAGAGCAAACTCCTGAAACTTGGATAGTCTGACAGTCGATAAGAAAGCTACCTTATAATCTTCCCTTCTTGCGTCTAATGGACATTTAAAGTGGACCTATCATGCTATATTGGAAACATATATTGTAGGGCCATACCTACAAAACATGTCTGTGAGGTTTTTTGCTTAAAATACCAAACAGATCCCCCGTTGTAGCCGTGCCTCATTCTGCTCAAACCCCTCTATTCCAGCCCTGTTAGAGAAACGCGGATTTTGGGTCCTTAGCTTAAAAAAAAAGAGAAAAAAGGAGGCGGAGCTAATGCCTGATCAGAATTCTACCGGAGAGAAAGTTAAATTCTGCTGTGATAAAACGCCATCCTGTTCTAAACCACATCAAGGATTATCTCTGGAACAGTATGGAGCTCAAATGCTTTTTCTCTTGCAGGTTTATCACAAGGTGAGTTCCTTTCTTTATTTCCTGCTTTTTAAACACGTGCTCTCCAGTACAGGTTAGCTCTGAGTGTTAGCGAGGCTAATGTAAACAAAGACGAGAGTAGCTCCAAAACACGTCAGGCATTGTTTCTGATAGCAACTCTCTGTGGGTCCGCTGCCGATTTGACGTCATTTCGGCAGCAAATCTGTATCCGCTCGTTGTTCCTCTGTTTTTAAAAGATTTGGGTACGGAGGAAAATAGGGTTTTATTTTCTGACGCTGCGTGAGTTCCCCGACGCACCGGGGACACATTGATGTAGAAAATACATCAAAAAGTGCATTTTGCATGATAGGTCCCCTTTAAGTTGACCCTCAGTGTGTTTACTTAATCTAATGTGGCAGGAAAGAGAAAACAACCCGTACATAACTTTACATTTTCTCCACAAGAAATGAAATGCAGAAGTAGAGCGAGCTGCAGTCTCCTCGAGAAGGACCTTCAAACAAATAATAAATAAAACATTTATACAACTTGTGCTTTCTGTGATCACTATTCATGTTCATGCTTACCATGAATTATCCCTTCCTGATATCTTCCAATGTAAGGAATGGAGGACAACGTTCAAAGTGTCAAAAAATCTATTCAAAACTTGACCTAAGTTAAAATATGGCTTCAGTAGTCTGCACTACAAAGAGATAATTGTCTGCTTCAAAACGTCTGATCACTGATTTGGTGGCATGTCATAAAATTGTCTTTGTACTGTTTTTAGAAACGTAAAAAAAGTCATTGGGAAAACCAAAGAAGTCTGAACAAAAATGTGATATACGTATCTACATGATGGGATTTGGACAATATGAAACCGTCCTATTCGACAGTCTTTGCACATCAGTGATGCTCTAAAAAGCGGAAATCACCTTTTACAAGATTTAAGCCAATCTAAAGGATTCTGACACACATTGGACACATTGAACTTGTTCTCTTGCATAAACTTCCTAAAACTCCAAGAAATAGCTTTGGTTTTATTCCAAAACAACAGATGCTATAACTTAATTTGTGGTTGTCTTGTTGTGTATGAGACACTGAACACAGCTGACAACAAACCTGGATTTCCACTATTACAGCAATCTCAGAAACTAACGCAAAGCCTTAAAACACGACCGTCATTGTGAGTCAATTCTGTGTGTGTGTGTGTGTGTGTGTGTGTGTGTGTGTGTGTGTGTGTGTGTGTGTGTGTGTGTGTGTGTGTGTGTGTGTGTGTGTGTCTGACCACCAAACAGGCCTTCCTACGTGAACACAATGATGTCACTTCCTCTCACCTTGAGTTATCCTCTCCTGCGTTGAAACTGCGTGTTACCACAGTGTTAGGATGGCATTAGTTCAAATGAGAGCATTGTTTTCATGAGGTTACACCTTTAAATTGCGTTATTCAGTATCAACGGAGATTACCCGCAGTGTGAACAATGAACAGAGACTTTCTTCTGTCACGATGGCAGTCTGAGCTGTAACGATGATCCTGATGCATATTTGTTTGATGAATTAATCAGTCGTTATGTCTCATCTGTTCATCTGGAAATAATCGTTTTTTCTTCCTCCTTGAATAATTATCTTTACTTGTTTGCAGCCACAAGTCTTTTCTTGCTTTAAGGCAACCCTTCAACACTTTAGAAAATACCCTTTTCTTGCCAGGAGTTAAATGAAAAGACAGTTACCTCACTAATGTCTGACTCTAACGCCTCAGTTCACCTGCCTGGTTCGGTTTAACTCAACTAGACTCAACTCGACTTAATTCTGGTACCAGGTTCCTTTTTTAATTTAGTTTTATTACTACAGATAGCTGTTACTTCAACTATTCCTAAATCCTTCTGAAAATCCTCCCATCGTCAACATATCTGTGTGAGAGGGATCGAAAACCCAGTTCAGTAAATGGTAGATTGACCAACATTTTTACAACTCTTTTCCTGTCAATACGACCCATCAAAGCGCTTTTACATACAAGTAAGAATTCCTGTGTGTTTCAAAGGTTTTAACATTCACGCTTCTATTGGCTAGCGCTCCAACACATTGTACGTGATAGGTTAAGGGGCGGGACATCTCTAAGCGGTTGACCAATCAGCGCGGACTGGAAAATAAAGAGCTTTTTGAACATTAAAGCATGGAGACATGTCACAGTAGAGACACTACATACTGATATACACCTGAACATCAGCAGGAGAGGACTCTTTAAAGTAGAGACACTACATACTGATATACACCTGAACATCAGCAGGAGAGGACTCTTTAAAGTAGAAACACTACATACTGATATACACCTGAACATCAGCAGGAGAGGACTCTTTAAAGTAGAGACACTACATACTGATATACACCTGAACATCGGCAGGAGAGGACTCTTTAAAGTAGAGACACTACATACTGATATACACCTGAACATCAGCAGGAGAGGACTCTTTAAAGTAGAGACACTACATACTGATATACACCTGAACATCAGCAGGAGAGGACTCTTTAAAGTAGAGACACTACATACTGATATACACCTGAACATCAGCAGGAGAGGACTCTTTAAAGTAGAGACACTACATGCTGATATACACCTGAACATCAGCAGGAGAGGACTCTTTAAAGTAGAGACACTACATACTGATATACACCTGAACATCAGCAGGAGAGGACTCTTTAAAGTAGAGACACTACATACTGATATACACCTGAACATCAGCAGGAGAGGACTCTTTAAAGTAGAGACACTAAATACTGATATACACCTGAACATCAGCAGGAGAGGACTCTTTAAAGTAGAGACACTACATACTGATATACACCTGAACATCAGCAGGAGAGGACTCTTTAAAGTAGAGACACTACATACTGATATACACCTGAACATCAGCAGGAGAGGACTCTTTAAAGTAGAGACACTACATACTGATATACACCTGAACATCAGCAGGAGAGGACTCTTTAAAGTAGAGACACTACATACTGATATACACCTGAACATCAGCAGGAAAGGACTCTTTAAAGTAGAGACACTACATACTGATATACACCTGAACATCAGCAGGAGGACTCTTTAAAGTAGAGACACTACATACTGATATACACCTGAACATCAGCAGGAGAGGACTCTTTAAAGTAGAGACACTACATACTGATATACACCTGAACATCAGCAGGAGAGGACTCTTTAAAGTAGAGACACTACATACTGATATACACCTGAACATCAGCAGGAGAGGACTCTTTAAAGTAGAGACACTACATACTGATATACACCTGAACATCAGCAGGAAAGGACTCTTTAAAGTAGAGACACTACATACTGATATACACCTGAACATCAGCAGGAGGACTCTTTAAAGTAGAGACACTACATACTGATATACACCTGAACATCAGCAGGAGAGGACTCTTTAAAGTAGAGACACTACATACTGATATACACCTGAACATCAGCAGGAGAGGACTCTTTAAAGTAGAGACACTACATACTGATAAACACCTGAACATCAGCAGGAGAGGACTCTTTAAAGTAGAGACACTACATACTGATATACACCTGAACATCAGCAGGAGAGGACTCTTTAAAGTAGAGACACTACATACTGATATACACCTGAACATCGGCAGGAGAGGACTCTTTAAAGTAGAGACACTACATACTGATATACACCTGAACATCAGCAGCAGAGGACTCTTTAAAGTAGAGACACTACATACTGATATACACCTGAACATCAGCAGGAGAGGACTCTTTAAAGTAGAGACACTAAATACTGATATACACCTGAACATCAGCAGGAGAGGACTCTTTAAAGTAGAGACACTACACACTGATATACACCTGAACATCAGCAGGAGAGGACTCTTTAAAGTAGAGACACTACATACTGATATACACCTGAACATCAGCAGGAGAGGACTCTTTAAAGTAGAGACACTACATACTGATATACACCTGAACATCAGCAGGAGAGGACTCTTTAAAGTAGAGACACTACACACTGATATACACCTGAACATCAGCAGGAGAGGACTCTTTAAAGTAGAGACACTACATACTGATATACACCTGAACATCAGCAGGAGAGGACTCTTTAAAGTAGAGACACTACATACTGATATACACCTGAACATCAGCAGGAGAGGACTCTTTAAAGTAGAGACACTAAATACTGATATACACCTGAACATCAGCAGGAGAGGACTCTTTAAAGTAGAGACACTACATACTGATATACACCTGAACATCAGCAGGAGAGGACTCTTTAAAGTAGAGACACTACATACTGATATACACCTGAACATCAGCAGGAGAGGACTCTTTAAAGTAGAGACACTACATACTGATATACACCTGAACATCAGCAGGAGAGGACTCTTTAAAGTAGAGACACTACATACTGATATACACCTGAACATCAGCAGGAGAGGACTCTTTAAAGTAGAGACACTACATACTGATATACACCTGAACATCAGCAGGAGAGGACTCTTTAAAGTAGAGACACTACATACTGATATACACCTAAACATCAGCAGGAGAGGACTCTTTAAAGTAGAGACACTGCATACTGATATACACCTGAACATCAGCAGGAGAGGACTCTTTAAAGTAGAGACACTGCATACTGATATACACCTGAACATCAGCAGGAGAGGACTCTTTAAAGTAGAGACACTACATACTGATATACACCTAAACATCAGCAGGAGAGGACTCTTTAAAGTAGAGACACTGCATACTGATATACACCTGAACATCAGCAGGAGAGGACTCTTTAAAGTAGAGACACTACATACTGATATACACCTGAACATCAGCAGGAGAGGACTCTTTAAAGTAGAGACACTACATACTGATACACCTGAACATCAGCAGGAGAGGACTCTTTAAAGTAGAGACACTACATACTGATATACACCTGAACATCAGCAGGAGAGGACTCTTTAAAGTAGAGACACTACATACTGATACACCTGAACATCAGCAGAGTAGGGCCCCTTTAATGGGAAGATCCTTCTCATCGAGTTTCACCTTTCACAACAATTGTATCCAACTTTGAATACAATGTCTAAATGCAGCTTTAAATAACTCTGTGTTTGTATGCTTCAGCTAAGTCCCTAAAATAAACCAACACAACATGATGCTATTAATTCCTTCGCATCTATATTTTGCCTACAAAATAACGTGCATTGCAAGGTTTACAGTAAGTGCCCACAGACGTGCAGTGGTCACACATCGTGGCTGTTGCATCTAAACATGGCAGAGTGACCCCCCTCACCTCTCATTTTCCCTCTCTGCTAGCAGAAATAAAGCCCATACTTCACCAGATATTTCAGGCAGCAGCAGTGACAATGGAGAGGAGGGGGCGGCTGTAGTAGGTCAGTGATTTTGCGAAATCCGAGCAAAACATTTCTGGTTGCCAGAGGAGTTCATGGGAGAAAGCTGGCTTTTTATTTGTACCCTCTCCCCCCTTTAAACCATCAAACCTCATGGCGCTACAATCATTTAATACTCCGTCATTATGGGCATTCATAAAGCCACACACATGATTTCGGTTATGTTGTAGTACGACCACATTCCCCTCCTTACTATTACTCTTGTTTTTACCACGCTTGTATAGAACTGCCTCTGTTGGTGTATTATTCTGATTTATAACCAGAGTTAATGCTTAGCCAGGAGTTTGTGCTGTCCATGTTTTGGAGCGTTTCTTCCCCAGGTGACCTTCTGAACTCGTGCACTTGGCTGGCCGTGTCGCGGTCTTGGCCTCGGCTCTTGATGTGGTTCGAAGAAGTGCTCAAAGGTTGCTAATACACCATGAGAAAACTGTGTTTGGCTGTGGGTTTCCTGTGCCCTCAGCAATTTCCTCAAGGAGTCAGCGGCTGCAGCAGGAAAGAGAGTGAAGGCCAGGTTTTTGGGTGATATTTCAGATGAACACGTGATTGTTCAGGATGTATCACACTCCTCTCTCAACCGTGCATGTAGGTGCAGAGATATTAGAGAGTGAGAGAGTGTTTAGAGTCTAAACGTGTGTGGAGACCGTCTGAACTTTAGACGGTCTCCATGCCCTCGTGTTTTGCTCTGTGCCGCCAGGGAGTGGAACCTGATGCTGTGTCGGAAGATGACACACTGCCAAAAGCCCTGAAGCTGCAGAGAGAGGAAGAAAGGAGGCGAAGCAGGAGAGAACGAGTAAAGCTAAGAAAAGTAAAAAGAGACATGCAAAAGTGTCTCTTTAACTGCATGCAAAGATCCAACTTGAGCCAGTGTGTTTACCTTTTGCAAGTGAGCAGCTCTTGCATCGTTAAAACCATTCGATTCTCTCTGGTTTTTAAGAGCATTCCGGACCACTCGCCCCGACGCTGAACTCACATAAACTCTGACGTCAGCAGTTTAGTCGGAGGTATCGGTCGGTCGGGTCAAAGGTGGAGGATCAGACAGACAGACAGACGAGTCACGGTCAGTTTGGTTCTGCCCGTTGCTATTTCAGCTTCAAAGAAACCAAGCCAGGATTCCACTGGATTCAGCCTGTTTGGAAACCAGAATGGCAGAGATGGATAAATGTGCCAAATATGAGGAAATGGTTGCTGCCTGGCACAAAGTCGTGCTCCTGTAGAATCTGATGAAGTGAATCACTAATTCTCCAGATTCCTCATGCCATGGAGGACATCTAAAGTATAACATAACACACCCGGATCTTTCCACTGCTTATTGTTGCTCTTTTATCTGATGGAGAGGCTGCTTCTGAGAACTGTCTCTCTCCCACATCCTCTGTGGTGAGAGGGTCACTCAAAGTCTGCAGGCAAACACACACACTTGCTCTTACACTACATAGCAACCCTAATGTTTACCACCTCTCTTCCTCCTCCTCTTCCTCCTCTTCACCTCCGTCACATCACACCAGCCTGTGGTTTGATCAAAACGTCGCGTTCGAAGAGAAAATTGAAGTGATGATCAGCGTGAACATGGGTATTCCAGCTGGTGTGTGTGTGTGTGTGTGTGTGTGTGTGTGTGTGTGTGTGTGTGTGTGTGTGTGTGTGTGTGTGTGTGTGTGTGTGTGTGTGTGTGTGTGTGGTCTAGCATTACTATACTTGTGGGGACCTAAATCTGTTTACATAGTCACGTGTGGGGACTTGCCTCCCTTATGGGGACAAAATGGAGGTCCCCATGAGGGGGATCATTAATTTTAGGGTGAAGACTTGGTTAGGTTTAGGATTAGGGTAAGGTTAAGGTTAAGGTTAAGGTTAAGGGTAAGGTTAAGGGTTAGGCATGTGTTGGTTATGGTTAAGGTTAGGATAAGTCTCCAGGAAATGCATGTAAGTCAATGTAATGTCCCCTGAAGTGATGTATACATGGTGTGTGTGTGTGTGTGTGTGTGTGTGTGTGTGTGTGTGTGTGTGTGTGTGTGTGTGTGTGTGTGTGTGTGTGTGTGTGTGTGTGTGTGTGTGTGTGTGTGTGTGTGTGTGTGTGTGTGTGTGTGTGTGTGTGTGTGTGTGTGTGTGTGTGTGTGTGTGTGTGTGTGATAGAGAGAGAGTGTGATTCAAATAGCCCAATTGCTTTTACAATAAATAAACATTGAATGTGTTTAATTGAATAGTAAAGGGGTTTAACGTTAGTGGCAGGTTGTGTGTGAGAGAGAATAAATAAATAAGACAGCCCAATAATTATATTTTCCGCATATTTCGCAACTTTCCGCAATTTTAGCCCGCATAATTCAAGGATTTTTGCCCGCGTTTTTCTGGAGGGTCTAATTATTGTTCTATTAATATAAAGGGAGGTCAGGTACTCTTTAAAGCAGCTGCTAGTTATGGGTACTTTTTACTGAAGTACATTTCAAAGCCTCTTTACTTTCACTTGAGTAAAGAAGTTTAGTCAGTACTTCTACTTTCACCAGAGTATTTTTAAACACGAGTATCTGTACTTCTACTTGAGTAAAGGAGGTGTGTACTTTTGACATCTCTGAGAGTGTGTAAGAAGCAGTGATGAAACAAAGCTCGGGGAGAGAATAAAAGTAAGACTTCATAAAATCAGAAAGGATTACTTAAGGAATGATAAAAGAGTCCAAAAATAACATTCTGCAGTGATCAAAGTGACATACCACGAATACTCTAACTGCTGCACCTCCTGCAATCAACTACTTATGACTCTACAAAATACCATGCGTGACAGTGAATGTAATCAGATAACTATGATTCAAGGCAAAGGAAAACATAGGGTAATAAAAATGAAATGATGATCAGCGTGAACATGGATATTCCAGCTGGTGTGTGTGTGTGTGTGTGTGTGTGTGTGTGTGTGTGTGTGTGTGTGTGTGTGTGTGTGTGTGTGTGTGTGTGTGGTCTAGCATTACTATACTTGTGGGGACCTACATCTGTTTACACAGTCACGTGTGGGGACTCGCCTCCCTTATGGGGACAAAATGGAGGTCCCCATGAGGGGAATCATTAATTTTAGGGTGAAGACTTGGTAAGGGTTAGGCATGTGTTGGTTATGGTTAAGGTTAGGATAAGTCTCCAGGAAATGCATGTAAGTCAATGTAATGTCCCCTTAAGTGATGTATACATGGTGTGTGTGTGTGTGTGTGTGTGTGTGTGTGTGTGTGTGTGTGTGTGTGTGTGTGTGTGTGTGTGTGTGTGTGTGTGTGTGTGTGTGTGTGTGTGTGTGTGCGGGGACATGAATTACAATGACACCACCAGCAGCAAAGTCGCTTTCACTGCAAGACATTTAAGTAATTATCTGCCTGTTATGGTTCATCTTATTAATGCTGATTCTTGGGTTTCCGACAGAGCGGCGGCGGCGGCGGCACGTGGAGACAAACTATGGGAGGGGTCACATGACACGCCTTCAAAGGGAGGAAGAGGAAGCCCTCTGGGGTGCAGATTCAATTGAGTACTGAAGCAAGACTGCTAAGAAAAGTGTATTCATCAAATTAATTAATCAGAAAAATGTGTCGTCCCGAGGAAATGGACATTGTTACAGAAAGGTGTTAAAGTGTAAATTAACAAACGGGTAGAGTAACATATTGAACGAAATTGCAAGCAAATAAAATATAGGTAAATAAACAAATTAAATCAAATGAAAAAAAGGAAATGAATAAATAGAATCAAATAATATTGAATTAAATACAATTACATACAATTAAATGAAACAAGTACACATCTACAGTATGGCATATATAAATAGCAGAATTATTATAAAAGTCTAAGTGAATGTTTAAAAGTACTGAAGTAGCAGAAAGAGTGTTGAAGCCCAAATATATATTTTACAATAATAAATTACATTATGAACTGCAGTGATATTGCACATCGTTTTTAAAGTAATGAGCAGTGTGAAATACTGAGTGATGCATCAATAAAACTAAAGTTTAACAATGCATGCTTTGTCCTTGCTTTCATCCTTTCATTGCTGACGGTGTAATGTATTGAAGTATTATTAAAACAGCGAGAAGCCTGCAAGAAAATGAGCTTCCTTTAAGCCAAACCACTGGAAGTGCTGGAGCATTAATTTAAATTGAGCTAAATCCTTAACAGCTTACTACAAGTACTAAAAGTCATTCTGCTGGCCGAGGCGTATGAAATCCTGACGGAGCAGGGTGTGTCCGGGGGAAAGGAGCACCTAATCAGTGAAGCATGTGTACATTTGATGAAACTGGACGACCTCTTGATCTTCATTTCATCTCCAAACCACATTTCTCCTGTGAAGCATTTGTTCCTACACGAGGAAGAGGATGGAGGAGGTGAGGAAGGAAGGATGGAGGAGGAGGAGGAGGGAAAACACAGCATGACATCATCATCAGGAGACTCAGTTAGCCGTGTCAGGATCTCCCAAACCTGACCCTGCTTCCTCTGTGGGGTCACATCAAATACAATACATACTGTAATACAATACAATACACAGAGGGGGGAAGTAGTGGAGTGCAAATACCTCGTTACTGTACTTAAGTACTGGTGTCAGTACTTTACACTACTACTTGTTTTTCTGACGACTTTTTACTTTGACTTCTTACATGTTGAACTCAAATACCTGAACTTTCTACTTCTTACATGTTGAACCCAAATACCTGAACTTTCTACTTCTTACATGTTGAACCCAAATACCTGTACTTTCTACTTCTTACATGTTGAACCCAAATACCTGTACTTTCTACTTCTGACATGTTGAACACAAATACCTGTACTTTCTACTTCTTACATGTTGAACTCAAATACCTGTACTTTCTACTTCTTACATGTTGAACTCAAATACCTGTACTTTCTACTTCTTACATGTTGAACTTAAATACCTGTACTTTCTACTTCTTACATGTTGAACTCAAATACCTGAACTTTCTACTTCTTACATGTTGAACACAAATACCTGTACTTTCTACTTCTTACATGTTGAACTTAAATACCTGTACTTTCTACTTCTTACATGTTGAACTTAAATACCTGTACTTTCTACTTCTTACATGTTGAACTTAAATACCTGTACTTTCTACTTCTTACATGTTGAACTCAAATACCTGTACTTTCTACTTCTTACATGTTGAACACAAATACCTGTACTTTCTACTTCTTACATGTTGAACACAAATACCTGTACTTTCTACTTCTCACATGTTGAACTCAAATACCTGTACTTTCTACTTCTTACATGTTGAACCCAAATACCTGTACTTTCTACTTCTTACATGTTGAACCCAAATACCTGTACTTTCTACTTCTTACATGTTGAACACAAATACCTGTACTTTCTACTTCTTACATGTTGAACCACAAATACCTGTACTTTCTACTTCTTACATGTTGAACTCAAATACCTGTACTTTCTACTTCTTACATGTTGAACCAAATACCTGTACTTTCTACTTCTTACATGTTGAACACAAATACCTGTACTTTCTACTTCTTACATGTTGAACACAAATACCTGTACTTTCTACTTCTTACATGTTGAACACTAATACCTGTACTTTCTACTTCTTACATGTTGAACTCAAATACCTGTACTTTCTACTTCTTACATGTTGAACTCAAATACCTGTACTTTCTACTTCTTACATGTTGAACTCAAATACCTGTACTTTCTACTTCTTACATGTTGAACCTCAAATACCTGTACTTTCTACTTCTTACATGTTGAACACAAATACCTGTACTTTCTACTTCTTACATGTTGAACCCAAATACCTGTACTTTCTACTTCTACATGTTGAACACAAATACCTGTACTTTCTACTTCTTACATGTTGAACCCAAATACCTGAACTTTCTACTTTTTACATGTTGAACACAAATACCTGTACTTTCTAACTTCTTACATGTGAACCCAAATACCTGAACTTTCTATCTTCTTACATGTTGAACCAAATACCTGTACTTTCTAC